ACAAAAACTAGAAAACGAAAAAACACGAAAAAAACGAAAAAATAATAATAAAAAATAATAAGCCGAGTGATTCTTTAAAAAACCTTTAGAAGTTTTTCGCGTTGACGCTGGTGGAGCATCCGTCGAGGTTTTTTAAAGAACCTTTTAGAGCGTTCTTTGGAGGAACCTTAAAGTAAGGTTCATTAAAGAACCTTTAAGGGTTCTTCGCGTTGACACTGTTGGAGCAACCGTAGAGTTTCTTCAAAGAACCATTTGAAAGAGTTCTTTGGAAGAACCTTAAAATAAGGTACTTTAAAGAATCCGTTATAGTTCTTCATCGAACCGTTCATCGTTTTTGTATTGTTGCAATCGTTGCACGGATACTTTTTTGAATACACGGATTTATAGTCACAGTTCCGTTCCGCAAATTATCTCAAAAATTGTCTAGAAATGTAAACATTTCGAGCAAATTATTGTTTAGTTAATAAATTTTAACATAGCGTACACTTGTGTCGTAATTGGATGTAAGAATACAAAGCGCAAGATGAAAAAATGGGAAGTGGAAATGTGCCAGCAACATGGCTGTGTTCGTTCGGAAAGTCTTTGTAATTGCTTGAAACCTTTTTTGTAAGCCAACTTATGATTGAATAGTTTCACTGTTAATTTACTGGTATTCTCACTACATAATTTAAAAAAACTTATCTTTTAGGTTCTACACATTTCCTAATATTAAAAGAAATACTGAGCGTCGAGATCAGTGGTTCAAACTTATAAATAGAAAAACAGAAACAGATAAATTATGGCAACCAAGCAAAGATGCTCGAGTATGTTTCATTCATTTTACTGATGGTAGACCAACTGATGAACATCCGAATCCTACTCTAAATCTAGGATACGATTCACACAAAAGAGAGGCTTTAATTTCTTAAATTCTTAGTAAACAATCTTTTCCATCTAAAAGGCCATTTTTTTTATACAAAGAAGAAGAGAGTTGACTCTGTTGGCATTTATCAGGAACCTGAAAATGTAACAAAAAAAAATTTATTGAAACTTCGAGTTGTAATAGAGGAAGCTAAAAAATAATCATTGACTATAAAAGATATTTTTCTTCTTATTGTAGCATTAGTATATACTTTACACACACTATTATGTTGTATATAGAATTTACATTCCCAAATTAAACACTTTGAGAAAAACCTTAAAGAACCACTATGCAAAAAATTACTTAATAAAAACACCTGTAAATTTTATACAAACATAGATAAAATTGAATTGTTTCATAAATTGCATGAAAAAATTATGCCACCTATGAATAGAACCCACAAAAGTCTAAGAACGTTTTTTGCAGATCATTTAAATCAACACCACAGAAAATGGGCCCAAAAATAAAACTAAATTCAATTGAGGAGTTTTTATTGACATCAGTGAAGTTGCGACTTGGTCTACTCAATAAAGACATGGCAGAGAGATTCGGGGTTTCCGAAAGAATATGCTTTAAAATTTTCCATACTTGGATTTTGCACCCATATCTGCAATACTTGCAGATATGGGTGCAATACTTGCAGATATTGGTGCAATACTCGCTACAACACCTAAAATGTATAAAAAGTTTGATAATTTATCATCAATTATAGATTGCTCAGAAGTTTTTATTAAAACACCGAAAAGTTTAGAGTTACATGGTCCGACTACAAACACCACAACACGCTACAAGCGTCACATGGTTAATTCAAGGATAACATTTATTTCAAATGCTTACACAGGACAAAATAAGTGATAATAAAATCACAATAGATTCGATTTGAACATTTTACCAAAATACAGCACATTAATGGCAGATAAAGTTCGAAAATTTAATTAAAAGTAAACTGTAAAAATATGAAAATTTAATAAAGCAAACGTAAGCTGTATAGAGTTTTAAACATAAAAGTTTATGAATATTTGACACGAGTGGCGGGGCCCGGGACTATTTTTTTTGGAAGCTTCTTGTATGTGTCAGAGCCTTACAACAATTTAAAAAAAAATTGTCCTGTAATTTTTTTGGGGACCCTTAAATTTGCGGGACCCGGGGCTATAACCCCCATCCTTATCCATGACTGCTCGGCACCCAAGCCTGCCATTTCAATATCCCCTAAAAATTGAATACATAATTTTACTGATGAAAATAAAAAGTTATAGTGTCTGAAAAATTCTAATATATAAATCAATCTCATGTTCTTCTCTTCTCACTTTCACCCCAATCTATCAGATCTGAGGAACACCCTACTTTATTATTACGATCACTAAGTTAATGCCAGATTGTACCATACATACTGAAAGCCTAGAGTCAAATACAGAAACATAATATAATATATAATCAATAATATTTATTAGACTGATTGTAAAACATGATTGTAAAGAAATTTTCATTCAAGTATTATTTTAAACTCAATACTATTTTCGTTTAATGACTGAGAGAAATTTGTGATGCTGCTTAGATTTTCTAATGAAAGATCAATGCATATTGTGTCATTCTTCATTAATTTCTTTAATGTTTTTTTTAAGCAATTTGACTTCTCCAAAACCAATTTATATTATCAATCATGTATTCCAAAATTCATCATCAAATTGAACTCGCACAGTTAAATTTCCATGAAATAAAAAAATAAATAAATCACAATATTTCTTCTGTGTGACACCAAGCTTACTCTGAACCTGAAAATAATATTCACTGTTGTTCTTCAAACTTATTATTCCATTAGTTTCTTCAATATGCGTATAGTTTTCCGGATGAGGGACTTCACCAATTAGCGAGACCGGACATTTGATTTAATAGTCAGTGTTTTCTCCCACAAAATTTTAACTTTAAATTTGAACCAAGCTTACCTTGCAGCTAATTCTTCTGTAAAACCAATCACAGATTTTTTCCTCAACGATAAGAAAAATTTAAGGCAATTGAACTCCACATTTTAGAGTCTTCAAGCTCAAATATTCCTAAATCTTCAGCCTCGATCCTTCGAACATTAGCTTCTTGAAAAGAGGTATGTGACATAGTTAATTGGATAAGAATATGTTACTTATAATGCTGTTAAATGTATATATATATATATATATATATATATATATATATATATATATATATATATATATATATATATATATATATATATATATTTATAATAGCATTATAAGTAACATATTCTTATCCAATTCATTATGTCACATTCTTCTTCTCAAGAAGCTAATGTTCAAAGTTCGATAATCCTCAAAATAAAAAAAATAAAAACTATTTTTAAACAATTAATACAAATATAATATTTTCAAACAATTAACAAAAACTTTATTTTACAATCCAATATGTCTATGTTTATAAAAATATGTCATTAATTATAAAAAAAAAGGTTTTGTAGTGTTAAATCCATTGTCCAAAACATAAATGTTTTTGCTTGAAAATAAATGTACGAATAAATGTGAGATTTCTGTAGTCGCATCCGTTTGAAGAATTATCTGAAATTCATTATTGGAATAAATATATATATATATATATATATATATATATATATATATATATATATATATATATATATATATATATATATATATATACATATATGTATATATATATATATATATATATATATATATATATATATATATATATATATATATATATATATATATATATATATATATATATATATATATATATATATATATATATATATATATATATATATATAATGCTATTTTAGACAACTTTAAGTATTAACAAATAATGTTTGTTAAATTAGCAAACTTTTATAAAAAAATTCAAATTTACCCACTAAAAACAACATAAATCCTTTTTGCTAAATTTACTATCTTCTGATCCTAAACTAAAATGTCTCGGTCCTTCCTGGTCTTCCAAAAAAGTTAAATCATCGTGATTATCTTTATCTTAGCGTTTTTTATCTTTCTTAATTTAGTTACTTATCTAAATTAGGAAAGTTAAATTATCAAACTTTTTATACATTTTAGGTGTTACTTTAAAATATAAATACCATGTCCGTAGAAACATTGCGAACATTTCTGTCAAACTTTTTGTATTAATAACATTTTTTGTCAAATAGAGAATGGAAACCTGAAACTAAACATATGAGCTGAACAAATACGCTGGCTCATAGCAAAAACTAAGTGTTTAGTCAGGTGTTCCTGTTCCCTTAAAATATATATATTTTTATTACAACAAAAATATTGTTATTTAAGATTAGACAACCACTGCCGGCCCTTAGTATATGATATATAATATTATTTGCATGTTTCTCTGTAGCTTTTGTAACGTAGTTTTTGTTTTAAAGTTCTGTACGTTTTTCTTTATTTTACTTAATAAAATCTTTCTTTTCTTTAAATAATTAATTAATCTTAATCAACTTTTTCTGAAACCTTTTTCTTATTCTCGATTTCTTTCCGTACAACGGCACAAAAGTAAAAAAAAAAAAAAAAAAAAAAAAAATATAAGTTCGAAAAATACAAAAAAATATAAAATCAAAAAAACAATAACATTAAAGAATATTAACATATGTCTATATAAAACGAGTTGTAATACTTATATTAAATAAAAAACCGGTTATATATTATAAAACCACTAGTAAAACATATATACTGTAAAAAAGGGATTATTTAGTAACCAGAGATAGTGTAAACTCAAAAAATTGTAAATATTTATAGTTTTATAATTATTTAAAAAAAAAAAGGATAGTTTGCACTTTTTATGCAATATCTGTCTATACTCTCTGACTTGACATTATATTTTTCTCTCTTATTTATTCTCTATATGTAGCTTTTTTTCTCCAGATATATAAATGCACATAAGAAAGACCAAAAAAAAAAAAAAAAATACATTGATAGACACTATAGACTACAATGTTACGTGTCATTAGGTCAAAGTGTTACGTAACAATTTTTACGTTGCGCTACGTTACAATATTCCGTCTCGGTTACGTAAAAATAACAGACTTTTTGCACGTAACATAACGAATCCCGTTTGCGACTTTACAAACCCACTATAAGCACAGAATAGCCATCAAAACTGGCCAATCTGATTCGCTTATTTTGAAAGAGAGGCAAATCTGCAAAATTGGAATTTAAACTTTCGCGCAATAAAAAAAATAATAAACCTTGCTTAATAACAACAGCGGTAGTGATTCTAAAAAAAATGAATTCAACATTCCCTATTTTATTTAATTCAAAGTTAATTTTTGAAGATAAAAATGTTATTCAATTGCGAGCATCAATTAAATCAGAAGATGAAGCGAACCAATGGGTAGAAGAATATGGACATAAAACGCACACTAGATGGCTAAAGTCATACAAGCTGAATGAACCTACAAGGTTGGATTTTTAACCAATTTTATCTTTTACCACGAAATATGATACATATATTTAATATAAATATCATAGATATATATATTAAATATATATATTTATATATATATATAAGGAAAAAAAAAAATTAGATAAGTGTTTTTACTTATTTATTTTTACTCTGTTCTTTAACAACGTTGAGCTCTCTTGTAGAATACACTAACATAATTTATATATATTTAATATATATATATATATATATATATATATATATATATATATATATATAT